CCTCGTACGCGCCACTTTCAGCACCGTGACTGGTAGACGCCGGCAGCCAGCTCGTGAGCCTGGTGCGACAAAGGCGAGCGAGAAGGAATTTCAAGGACACACTCAAAGGGGTTTGGAGTTACGTGATTTACGACGACGCGTCGCGAAAGCCCTGCTTGTGGTGCCAACGGTCTACGAATATTCCGGCGCTAGCGCCACTCACATACTTCGGTGTCTCGTGAATGCGAGTCGTCATATAATGAATCGCTTGGAAAGTGGAGTATCACGCATTTGGCGTACAGGCGAAGCCTCCAAGGCGTGAGAACCGTGGGTGAAGGGGCGAGCGGGGCGAGAAACCGAGACACCGAATTCTGTCGTCGAATGGTATCAGCACAGTTTCGGTTTGAAGCGAATGCCTTACTCTAATGCTGTGTACGCGGAAAGAGAATCATGCTGGTGAGTGTAAGAAAAGAAAAAAAAAATGCATATGTCCGGAAAGTGTGAACAATACATTTTGTTTTCTAACTAGTTTATGCTGACTTGTTTCTAAAATTATCTTCCTATCAGAAAACAATGATTGCCTCATGCAGGAAGTGTTCGTTTTTTTGTTTTTTTTTGTATGATGGTATTGCAAAATCTCACACTAGTGTACCTTTATTTTGTAGGGAGTCGTTTTATTGAATCAGAGCGTTATATATGCTGCATATCTATCTTATTGAGGTCTTTAAATATATCATTATATCTGAAAACTATCCCACGATTAATGGAAAAAAAAACTAATTCAGCAGCACTGCTGTGATACCAAGTCAACTGTCCTAGGCTACCGGAGGTTTTTTTCCCGATGGATTAGTGCAGTTCAATATTCTATTTCACGTTCACGAACTTCACAAGAAAAGGTAAAAAAAACACGCGTATAGTATAGGAAATTTCTATTGACCAATTATTGTGATATATAATGAAACTATAATGAATTGTTCGTTTCACACGCAAATTTATTCATTACATATATTTGCCTCCCAATAAAAAATACTTCTACATATTTTTAAGAAAATGTGAGATTATTTTAAAATAGCAACATTGATAGCACTACTGGTTTAAATTGAGAGATAGGGCGTCCGGAACTCGTACGATATTTACTAATGCATCGTGTGTACTATACTAGTCTTTATAAGTGAAGCTTCCGTTTGCCTTATTTTCAATATCGTAAATATGTTTCGCTAGTTCTGCTATTCACGAACCAATTAAGCTTCAGCCTATCGTTTCATCTTGAACCTTGGAGCCGATCAGTTGGTAACACCTGCCTGTGCCTGTTGGTCTAAACAGGAATGGTTTAGGTTTCCACTAGGAATAATTAAATTGGATATTTTTTGCGTAAGAAAGAATAATAAAGATACCGGAAACATATGTATTGTGACACCTACCCATAGAGCCCTCAATATTGCAAATATTGAGAGCTAGGGGTGTGCAACTTCCTCACCTCTTCCAGGTACTGAATTGAAGCCAATAAGTCACAAGATGCTTTTTATTCACAGAGCCTTCAGTTTAAAGACGGTTTACTGCTCGTAGCAGAGGAACATTTGTATGAAGTTGGTTATTGCACAGCCCTCTCCCAATGAGGCATAGTGCTTGTGCAATATATGTCGGTTCTGTCGAAACTTTTTATTTTTCTTGATCTATTATATACGAAGAGCATCCGTATATATAAATATAACTCGTATTAACTTCCGGCCTAATTTTCTAGTCTTCTTGACACCTGTGACTTTCAATGTACATTTTACGAAAAAGTTCAAGATGATGTACTTGCGATGCACAACCCATTGTGTCATTCTGTTTACGGTGATTCTTGTGATTGCTACAAAATGTTTTGATACTAAGGATCACCTGAACTTTCTATCCTACAATGGTCAACGAAGTGTCAGAATTCAAAGGGCAAAACCTAGACAAACAAAACTTAAAGTTGCCTTGATTTTGGGGTGTTTTAATTAGCATTAACGGAATCCCCACTACCCGTACTGAGCTGCTCCGCTCTAACTGAGAGAGTGTCGCAAGAAGGGGTTGATTTATTCGCACATTTTCGATTTACGCGCCATATATAGACAACTGACAAAGCTCATCATCCCGTTATATGCATCGTAAATCGCACACCGCGTTCCGTGAGTCTTCTTGAGTGGTGAACGAATTATAGAGAGAAAATATGCATCGAGATCATCGGAAAGACTTCAACGCCACCGTTCGGGGAACCTAACAGCCGATAGTAGATATGTCAGCCGTCGTGAAATGTAAGTGTCTCTCTATTGCACGATGGCCCATAAAATAGAAACACCCGAGAACGTTGATGATCGTGACAGTGCTTGAATTGCGTTCTCAATTCCTATACCTCTCTCTCCCTCTCTTACTTCACAGCATAAAACAAACAGATATACGCACGCAACACTAGTGATCGGCTGAATAAACGAAAGGTTCGCCCATTGTTGAAGGCCGGGGTTTTCCTAAACCACGTTTCAAACTTGAACTATCGCATTTAAGGAGGAACTATAAGCTTAGCATTTTAACAGTTAAGTACTATACTCATTCATCTAACGGTGGTCGTCATATTGACACGCTATATGAATATACTGGTGACTATACATGTCAAGCTCCGTTGTAGAAAAACGAATATAATCACCACAAAAATGAATGACTGCAGCCTAGTAATTCCACCCATGTATTACTACAAATATATATAGTTTTTACTTCTTTCGGCACCAATTCCTTGAAACAATTTTTAGATTACCTTAGATATATAGAGTAGCGTAACTAAATTCTTGTAGACACGTATACAGCATAGTGATACAAGGTTCGAGGTTCGTATTACTGATTTTGTAAGCGTTCTTGGGTATGGACCTTGGGCACGCACACTCGTAGTGCGAATTTTTGTTGCCATGTACACTGACATAGCCAGCCTAACCCTGTCTGCTTGATACCAATATATCAAATGACAGCGAGCTGTTAAAACGCCCATTTAATTGGTTTTGTTAATAATAGAAGAACAAAAGGCGGAATAGGTGTCTAAATTTATTATTATTTTTTTGCCTCTACGACGTCTCATAACAGTACATGTAAAATGGGATTCAGGCGGATTGTCGACAGTGTTTTTTTTTTGGCATTGCCTCGCTAGCAGGTCTGAATTAGTGAATCACAGTAGTGATTTATTTTATTTGTTTCTTCACATGTTACATTTCTCTAGACTCTTCATGCGTCATTTTGTTGTTTTTGTCTCTCAGCCGATGTGCGACTATAGTTTGTTATCAACGTCCCATCCGACTAAATGGCTAAATTAGTTTAGGCTGCTCGTGTTTGTCACTTAGGCACTGCCTATACAACTGACGATGCATTAAGGTATAACCATTTTACACGATCGCGAAAGAAAGCCAGGCCATTTCAATACAATCATCAAATGAAAAATTGCTTGTCCTCTCAACAATTTTGATGATTCCATGCGGTAGTGTAGTTAATTTTTTCTAAAGAGTTGGACACGACAATATTTTAAAACGTTCTGCGGATTACGTGGGGATGCGCAACATGTCTTAATGAAGAATAAAAAAGTCGTCCAGAGTGACTGACAGTTTAAGGAAATTAGGGTGTGGCTTATTGTTTTAATCTGTTTTGTTATTCGGGATTCGTTGTTCATTGTTCTTATCAGTCTTAATGGCTGCAGATCGGAAGTCACATGCTTGAGACTCCTCCTACCCTGTGTTTCTGAAGCTCTCAGTGGCCATATATAGATTTCGTCTAGCTAAGTATACCTGCTCTAAAATCCCAAGAGGTGACAATAGTCTAACAAACATTGTTTTGTACGAAATGCGGCCTGGTATGGTGCTAGAAATCGCAATCATATCAGCAACAATCTAATGGACTCCACAAGCACTCTACTCCACTAAACAACGGGAACAAAAAATGTGAAATAAAAAATAAGCATTAGCTTGATAGTCTATCGTAATTATACTCCATATATTTCTCACTGTGACTGTACTGTAGATGTAGCACCCGTCTTCACAGAGTATTAACGCGCGAGCTGAATGTTGCGTCATACTCTTGTGTAGCCTGTTTTAAGCTTTTTTCACTTTTACGTGCATGGTTTGGGATTCGCACTTCCCGACTTATGGTTGATAAGGATTGATTTTAAAACGAGGAAGAAACATGTATCCAGAACCCATATAGCGCGGCTCGCAGCAATACTAGCCGTTGTTCAACACTTGAAATTGCGAGAGCGTAACCCAATACGACGTAGTACGAACAATAAAATAGGTCCGTTTTATGACAAAAGTGAACAGCAGCTGCGCTAACCGCGTAGACTAATGCATTTCCGAAATATACGGTCTCGCAGCCTACAACACACAGCCAGTCACGCAAACATGTTATACGACGTTGTTTTGACAATCTAGAACGATCCTTAACGTGGTTCCAGGTTGTTAGCTATTATCAGCGCTAAGAGGTGTTGTATAACGAGTCAGAATATGGGCATACATTTTGACATTGTCACGTTTTCAAGTGACCGGCTAACCGTTAAAGTTTGTTGGGGGAACAAGGTCCTTTCGTTGCGGGGCCGCAGCAATGGCGTTGTATACAAGTACGACAGTATATCTGCACCATATTGGCCGCATGCACAGTTTGGGCAAATTGAAAGTCTGGGCTGTCAAAGCCCAGACTTTCAATTTGCCCAAAATGTGCATGCGGCCAATATGGTGCAGATATACTGTCGTACGGAAACTACGGTAGCTGCTGGACCTTTCTTATGTAATGGGCTTTAAACGAGGAGTAGAAATGCCTTTAAAATGTAGCCCGTGGCATTCGGGAACACATTGCATAAACACGTACAGCTTTTTGACAATAAATATTTCAAGTAATGGTTCTGCAAGACCCCGGTCGTCGAGGAGAGAGCGCATTCGGTGACACTCGTGCGTGTAGCTGCTTGACACCCCCGTCCGCGCCCCGCGTTCGTTTCGGGACGACGTCTGCGCCCCCTGCGTCGGTCAGCTCACCGTCCAGTGCCATCCACGGGTACCGGGGTACATCGGCGAAGGCGTCCTCGGGTCGCACGACTCCCAGCCTGGGACAGGACGCCAGTGGGTAGGCGAGCTCCGCAGCCGCCAGGAACTGCGACGAAGCCATCAGCGACGCGGCAGCGGGCGTGGTGGCCGCCGTGGCACCCGGGTGGTGCGCCCCGAATCCGAAGGTGGCCGCCGCGTAGAGTCCAGCCGCCGCCGCTGCCATCGCGTCCGACTTGGCGGCCAGGTCGGCCGACGAGTAGTAGCCCAGCGGCGACGCGGTTGACGTGGCCGGCTGCGGCGACACGAACGGGTACATCGCCGCCGCCGCCGTGCGTCCCGTTGCCTGGAATGGTCTGAACGGCGGCGGCTGCGCCGGGGCCGGCTGCGCCGTCGTCGGCGGCAGAGCAGGTACGACGGCCGTGGCGGCGTCCGGTTTACTCCCCAGCAGGCCGTCCATAAAACTGACGCTCATGGCTCATTATGTCGGCGCTGGCACTGGGGGGAAGCGTCGTCGTCGTCGTCGCGGCCGAGATGGTCGTCGGGTTCGTCGCACGCCGGCCGGAAAAAAAGAGCAGTTTGTGCGGTGTGCCGGGCAGGGCGGCAGAGCCCCCTTGCGGGTTGCCCTCGCTCGCCTCCTCTCGGAGTAATGGCATCAGCTGTGCGAGGGTAAACAAGCCACGCCAATGGCGGACCCGCCAGGTCCCACTTTTCCCCGGCAGCCAATGGGCCGCCCATTCAAGATGGACGCGAAACAAGTGCCGCACGTGGAGGCCCCGCCGTCACGTGACTGCGACCCCCCCCCCCCCCCCCCCCCCTTGCTCTTACTGCTGCAGGCTCGACCCCGCTCCTCGTTAATTACAGCGCGAGAGTCTCGCCGCTGCGTCCGTGCCACCACGCCGTCGATGTGTCTTCCCGCCGGGACGATGAGTGACGCGCCTGCCTACGAGCCAGACTTCTCCGCTACGGGTTCGAGATTTCTCGGAAACCCGAGGAGAGCCCCCCTCTTCCGCGGGGCAAAAAAGTATCGGGTCTGGCTAGAGGAGGTCTGGTGCGAGGGTTCCGCTCTGCTGAATACCTCGTTAGGCTTTATTCTGGCGCGCCTAATGCGGGATGGATAGCCGTGCGGTCGTCGGTAGCCACGTCGAGCAGCTGGAAAGAGTTTGCCGCTTTTAGCGGGGATCTCGTTCGCTCCCTCGATGATGCCGCCGCGTCTTCGCTATCATTTACGGCGTCAGTAAGGGCGCTACCGTTACCGATGCGGCTCTGCTACGTTGCTGTAGACCGCTTGAGTTTGCTCGAGTGTTTTATTTGTTCAATTTCACGAACTTATTTTTAACAATGAGGGAATCATCATCCGCTAGTGCGTTAACTGCTACTCATAAACAGACGCGTTCCCCTGCTAAATATTGTGTGAAAGGTGTTTGATGCTCAATTTTATGTTTTCCGGGACCTCCTGGAAAACCAATTCTTCTACTGTACAGTTTTTAATAAAGAAAGATTCCAGTAAAAATAACAAAATAAATCAAGATTTTTTTTGTTTAATTTGAGAACTGAAAGCACATTGAAACGGTGTTCATCAAAGGGCAAAATAAGGGGATGCGGCTAATCATTTTTAAAGCAGAAAAAGTTAAAAAGCTTTGTTCAGTTTTGTTTGACCTTTAAGCTTTGCAACAGTGTTTTACAGCCGATTACTCGTGATTTTGTCGATAGTCGCCTCTTCAGAACACAGAACTGATTGATGTACTCAAACTGTAAAGCAGGTGGTCCAGTGAAACATTGATGATATCCTTACTAATAATTATAGATGTAGCAAATAATTTTGCATGCGTCAAGCCGGATGATGTCAATAATTGACCGTCCTTGGGCATCTTGCCTAAACTGGTTGTTTGGTCATATATTTCTGTTTTTATTAGAACGTTTAAATATTCTTATGTCACTTTTCTGACCAATATCCGGAGCTAAGATGTATAGAAAGAGTGGGTAAAAAAAAAGGTTTTTTATCAGAGCAGTAATATCGAAATTACAGAGCGAACATTGGTATAAGACCTAAAGTTTTACTCCAAGTGAATAATGCAATGGTATATATATATATATTCCGATAAATGTATTTTCAAAGACTGTCACTGAAGAATTCAACACCATAAATTAGACAAGGGGCTTTGGAGAGATGGTTCATTTGTCTTTTATTCTTAGAAAATTATCGGATGTGTGTGAAAACTGAACAGAATCAATATGCGTTAAGTTTTATACTGCTAGCGGTAAGATCATTTTGCTCTGAATACTTCCGTGTAGATTCTTCATATATCTATGAAACAACGTAGCGTACCTAAGCATTCTCAATAAAAATGAAGGATAGCCCTTCTATGCCTAATATGAGAACGAATATGGAAGGAATAACTCAAACAGGGACTTCTAAAATTTTCAAAATAAAGACCGACATCTTACAACAAAGAATAGCAACTTTTTTTGCTTTGTACAATATTCTTTTATTATCAACATTATAACATTAATGCGGCTGATTATATTATCTTTGAGATCTCCCATAGATAAACAGTCAAATTGAGGAGGAACCCCATACTTTAAATCTTGACTTTTCGAGGTATGAATTCCCGATTGAAACCTAATAAGAATTCTGAAAATTAGAGAGCGATGTTTCACTCCATGTAATTGACAGGTTTGTACAATTTTCTAAATATCTTCTTACTTACATTTATTTCAGTAATCTGTAAGTATGTTTAGCTAAATAAAACACGCGGATTGTACTGCAGGGGTTATCTTCGGTGACGTCCATAATCGATCGGGAAGGTTTACATATTTGTCTCTCTGAGCTTTGACTGACGGATAGCTTTCTTTCTTTATATTTGTCCCCACTGATGGGGACATAATTCATTTTAGTACTTTAAGAAAATAAATAAATATATATAATGTCTTAGAAGAAGAATAAACGCGTAAATCTTTACTGAAGTTGTACGCCGATTCTAGCATTTTTAGTTTTCATACACCCTGCTGTCCCCTGAAACTGGAGGGCTACAAAAGCAATTCCTGCGTTAAGTGAGCTCGGTATGAAATAAATTAAAATATGATCAATAACAATGAGCTCTGTGAGGTGTTTGAGAATATATAACCATAAAAGCTCAATTTCATGGGCACATTTTAGCATGTTTGATTGTGATTTGTGTTGGCTGCGTGCTTATTTCGTTGTATATCTTAAGGATGAGGTTACGCTGCCATTTCTGTTTTGCAAAATACTGTGGTGTGCTCCGACAAATATAAAACCGAAGTTTAAGGCTTTTGACTTCTAAACTTCCAATTATTCATTCCTCTTCATTTCCTTTATTGTTTTTTATTATTGTGCTCAAGAAACAGCGTATGCCATGGCAATGATTCAAGAACAGTGCGATAGCAAATTAGTCAGAAACCACTTGAAAGCAAAACAATTCGTCAAAATCTCAAGGTACTGTGCACCGAGTACAAGTGTTCTATGCGCGTCGTGGTGCTAATTGGGATAACTCTTTTAACAAAAAAGTTCAAGGAACTCGCAAAACTTGAAGATTTAAGGTGGACACGAATGTATTTTGTGAGATCAGGGCAATTAATTAATCCATGAAGGCATTTACACACAAAAAATAAATTCCCTAGTCTATACTCCTAATAAACTCTACGACCAATATAACGATCATCAAATGATCGTTATATTGGTCGTAGACTCTCGTATATTAACGATCATTTGAAAGAAATATTTTAGACACTTTCTACCATCTTCCTTAGTGAAGGGTGTAGTACTAAACCTTCGTGATGTGAGAAAAGATTATTTAAATATACAAGTATTTTTAGATACCCTGCGCAGGTAACTAGAGGTAATTTCAACTCTATGATGAGCCCATAAAGGGTTGTCCGAAACGTCTAACGAAAAGTGGTGTTAAACACTAGCCTTAAGGAGGGTAAGCTCTACCTACCTGATAGTTTTTTTTATATTGTAACACTCGTCTGAGAATAAAATACTACTTACCTTTTCTTGATTGGTTGAGTGACTTGATAGAAACAGTTCTTGCTTATTTTTTAGTCTGCGCGAGCCCATCTAAAAATGATTGGCTATTCGTTACTCGCGTGTCAAATGGAGTAAAGGCGACATTTTTATCTAGGTTTTAGTAAAGATGTTTTTAGCAGTCGCACTTACCTCAGGAACCTGAAGTAAACGCTATCGTTATTTTGAGTATATTCATAAGAGCTTTCTTATGAACATTGAACTTATATTCAGTTTTATAAATTTCCGAATGTTTACGGAAAATCTCAGCTAGACTAAAGACCTCCACGGTATGGCAACTGAGCATTCGCTAAAAGATTTTCTTTAATTTGAGAAAAATTGTTTTTGTTCTGACTTGTCTTGTAATTTGTGCAAACGTTGGAGTGTCGTCAAGCGCACTGGAGGTGTTACCTCAGAAAGTAAAGCCAAGATGAATGGGATTTCATGCGCGTCGATTTATCTGCTCCTTTAAGAGTCATTATTTTGTTTTAATGCAGAATAGTTATTCTGCTGCCCAAATGAAATTCTTGGATGGTAATTGGAACAAACTTATTTAGTTTTAGTTTCAATGTCGGTACATAAAATAAAATGTCTAGGGCTTTGCTTGTCAGAGCATATATGACCCTTAGAAATAAAAGTCTGGTGATGTCATTGGTTCATGACATCTATAGGTGAAATAGGGCCAAGATGCTCCCCGTGATTTAAATCATGGACCTAGGTCTTTCAGTTTATAAAAACTAGAGCTTGGCGACGCTTAAAATTTTTAACCCGATCAATCACCATCCTTTATCGATTAATTGATCGACTAATCAGTTTCGTTTATTCAAATGCAAAATACGTTTTTGTAAAGGCAAAATTACAATTTTTGCCTTTGCTCAATATGTTATAAATGATTGTATGTACAATTTATAATTTTAAAACAACCTTTGTGTGTAGGTGACAACAGTCAAAACGCACTTACATTCACAAATTATTATCTCCTCCGCAGAGGAAGAGGTTCGTTGTAATTCTCCGGCAATAGCCAAAGTCGTTTCATTTTCACAATAGTCTCTTGCCTAAACGGACACTCGCACGGCATTGAAGTGACTTGGACACGTTTAACGTTCTCCCCGTGTTTGAAGGTTCTGTCTCCTCTGCGTAAAATTTACTTAAGGTCAAAATTTCACCCAAAGTGTGCCTTCACAAGGTTTGTCCACATGTCTGCTTGGTGAAAGCGCTCAATATTAACTTTTGTCTTTGCTCGTCAAAATTTAATCACTTGACCAGTTAGAAAAATTAATCGCCAATAAATTATAATGGGTTGGTTAATCGATCAAGTGCAAAGCTTTAATCAAAAACCATGCTAAAACGAACCGTTCATAAGTTAAGCCTTGTTTTGCGTGACTGGCTAACTTTACGTTTCACAAGTTGATTCACAGAAAATATCTGTAGTCATAGATTTGTTTTGTATCAGAAATGCTTTTTAACTTGTCAGCATCATTTGGATGTGTCTTGATCGTCAGGTCTTTTTATTTTAGCAATTATGTCTTAAAGCAGGGTTCTCCAAACCCCGGTCCGAGGGCCAGATCCGTCCCGCGGAAGTCTCCCGACCGGCCCACGGCTGAACACGATACTCCCAACGAAGCTTAGCCCGCGGCCAGCTTCAAGCAGACTCGCCGCTACGGACACAAAAGAAATGTGCGTAAAGAAACGGCGCAGCGACACCATCCAAATGCGCAAACAGACATAAAAGCAGAATGAGAAAACTCATTGTGACGCTGGCCCTCTCGCCATATCATTATTAATTCAACATTGTTATGATTAGCATCACCATTCTTAGGCCCCTGCTTAATGTCAGTACTTCGTTCTCATATGTATTGTGCTTAGTGTCCTCTGTCAAACGTAACAATTGCATATTGTGAGCA